CTTCCTCCCCCCAAATACCAGGACCCAAATTCTGCCTTGCAGACCTAGTTAGACCAGATGATACACAGCGGTACAGATGGGAACTGGAAACGCAGGGAATCTAGGACAGATGAACCTCTCAGGACCAGGGGTGACAGTGGCAATACCAGGAGGGAAGTGGGGTGTAGGAAGGGAGAACTGATCACAGGGAGCTACATATAACCTCCTCTCTGGGGAACGGGCAGCAGAGGGGTAGGTGAAGGGAGATGCTGGGCACTGTAATATAAGATATAATAATAATTTATAAATTATCAAGGGTGCATGGGGGAGGGGGGGAGGGGGAGGGGAAAAAAGGAAAATGAGCTGATTCCGGGAACCCAAGAGGAAAGCGAATTTTGGGAATAATGAGGGCAACAAATGCATAGATATGCTTTACACAATTGATCTATGTATTGTGATGAATTGTATGAGCCCCAATAAATTGAGTTTTTTTAAAAATAAAAACAGAGAAGAAAAGACAAAGGAAAAAAAAAAAAGAGAGAAAGATTGCCTACACTAAAAAGCCTACAATTTTCCTTAGAAGCACTGTAGAATTTTTTTTTAAGTTAGGGCATAATGATGTTCTTTTTACATCTGAGAATGTTTGTATGATCAGATGCAAATGAGCATTATTTAAGACGCTTTCTTAAAACATCTTAAATAATACATTGACATGATTATCCATTACTGAGGAGCCTGGGCTCCTAACAGTAAGAGCAGCAGAATACAACCACCAGTGGCTCCTCAGGAAAAAGACAGGGTTTTCTACTCCTGGAAAGAAATAGTCTCAAGACTCACAGAGTAGTAGCTCCCCCGTATGGGGTCGCTATGAGTGAGCAAAGACTAGATGGCAGTGAGTTTTTTGTTTTTGTGTTTAAGTTCATCATTAAACTTATTATCACTTCCCTAAGACATTAGAATTAACTAAATTTGAGTACTGTGAAAACTTGTAGCAAAAGAGAACTGCAAATTATTCATTGTTTCATGCCAACATACAAACAATTCTGATGGGAATTTAATGAAGCATCTTAAGGTAATGAGGTGCTCTATACATTAAAATGTTTTTGACATAATTTATGATTACTACTGTTAAAATTCAATATTTTGCTTTAAAGGTTTAAAAAATCTTGAAGTATCTCACTAACTTGCCTGTTTTTAAGAAAAAGCAATAAACTTAATATTGTATTTACTATCCTCCACCATTCAGGACATTATTACAAACGATTTTTGTACCAGGTTGTAGAGCAAGTAAACTAAGGCCTTGCTAATTGTCTGGGAAACGACAGAGATTTTTGAGTTGTAGTACCTTCTTTAAGGAGCCATAGTGGTATTGTGTGTTACTAATCAGAAAGTTCAGTTGTTTGAAACTATCAGCCACTCCCAAGGCAGAAACACGAGGCTTTCTCCTCCTCTACAGTCTCGGAAACCCAAGGCAGTTTTACCCTGTCCTATAGGGTCGATATGCGTCAGAATTGACTTAACGGCAGTAAGTACGGTTTGTCTTTTAGTAACTACTGGGCATATCTGACTACAGACACTTTATCAGTCTCAATCCTATGTCAGTATGTCTGTCATTCTCCCTTCTAGTTAGAATTGTGGGCACAGTTCTCATAACCTGGTTTAAAACAACAATCTATAAAGGGTTCCTATATAATATGAGGGTGTTAAAAAGTATTGCTATTGGAGTTCCAATTCATACATGCACAGTTTTATTCCAAGTAAAATACAGTTAAACATGTCTATGAAATTAGTGACAGGCTGGAGATAAGTTCTCTCAGTAATAGACTTACTTGTCTTTCTCTCATTATGGTACTTTCCAAATAATCAATAAAAGATATTCTTTGAGCCAAAGCAAAAACATTGCTTGAAGAACAACTATCTACAGAACTGATCTATCAGCCTATTAAGCAAGATCAGCTACTGAAGACAATACTATGGATTGCATCATAATCAGGTATGAGTTTTGCATCTGCCAAAACAATCCAGAGAGCAAAGTCCAATCAAAACAGTGGCTTCCAAGGGGATCTGCAGGACCCGTTAAAGTTGAGGCTGATAGGTCAGCTCAGAATATTACGGCAACTGGTTCGGAGTCATCTTAACAGATGTTCTCGAAGGACACAAGACAATCATGGGCATTAGCAATCTGGACATTCCAAGAACTTCCCCAGGTAAATAGTTCCCAACCCAGTTTTCCACATTGGTTTTAGATTATGCTTTAGACTAGGGGTTCAAAACCAGTGAGGTACCCAGAGTAATTTTTACAAAATATCAGTGTCCAGATTTCTCCTATAGAGATATAAGCTAATCATTTTAATGGGGAATGAAGTGTTGACATCAAATGCTTTTTCAACAGCATTCCTTATGCAATACATTTTAAGAACTTTTCCACCTAGATGGCTGCATGTGGTTAAGTGGAAAAAGAAGCATTACTGATTAATTTAATTACATTTGCCCACTTCTAAAACCTTATCTTTCATATCTTCAGTGAGATGCTGATAGAAACAATTAAATGCACGCAGGTTTAAAATGACGTTAAGACATCATTTAGAAATATCAAAAAGGCAACCAGGCATTGAGGTCTAGAGTTTAAAGGAAAGGGCTGGGATATAATGCAGGCATCACAGACGTGCCGATTATTTCTGAAGATATGGACAAGGCAGAATTGTTTAGTACATATGGTGAAGTTAACCTACTTGACATGGCTCTCCTATCCATTATCTTTGTATCTCTCATCAAATGGCTGGATGGAAACATGCAAAAAATGTATAGAGGGCTCTAAAAAGGGGATTGGTGAGTACTGCTCTTCCTCTGGGTATAACGTGAGCCACCTCAGATACAAGCACAGATAATCCCACAAGCACTAAGTAAGAAACATCAGGAAGGAAGCACACTGGATCCTTGCCTGGGGAAGAGGCAGAGGAGCAGGGGCTTGCAGAATGGGATGCCCTTTGGGCATTTACGAGAGCTAAAGGAGCTTTGTAACACCTGCCCTAACAGGGAACAGGCCAAAGATCACATGGCTGAGAGACCAAGGATCAGTGAGAGGCATGCCTGTTAGCAGGGTTGAGAATAAGCCTACACAACTGTATCCTTAAAATTTTGCAACCCATTAACTTCCCTAAAGAGCTCATGATTGTGAGCACCGTCTGAGTTCTGAGAGGCCATTGCAAGGGATTATGAAACTCAGTAGAGAACGTCAGTGCTTTGAGGGGGGTGGTTGGTGTCAACATAGCATAAAGAAGAATGGAGGGTTGAAGGCATGTCTGACTGCTGCCTCATAGGGATCGTCCTTGGGAAGATACCGAGTTGTATACTCAGATGCTGTAGCCTTTATGCCATTTCTCAGAAATAAGTCCTGAGCTGAACAAAATTCCAACATTTAATGGCTGAATAAAGGAACCTACAGAAGAGCTTGAGGGCTGACCAGAGCAGCAGAGGAAAACAAGGGTAGTAGTAGTCTACTATACAGAAGCAATGGCAATAGTATTAAAGCTGCCAAGGAGAGAAAGGGAAACCGTCTCGGTCACAGGTGGCTTTCAGGATAGCCAGCTGGACAGTGATGGGACCGAGAGTGAAGGAAGGTCGGTTGAGGAGTGGATGCGAGTTGAGGAAATGAAGAGAGCACAGAGAATTTTCTCATAAAATTTGATTCATTACAGGATTTGGTTCAGTGAAGCGTGAAAAGATGATTTTAAGTTGGGAGTCACCTGAAATATAATGTAACAAAAATGTATTCCAATATAGTCTGTTGCTATTGACTTGGGGGGGGGGGATCTGAATTAAAGTATAATTGAATCTCGGTACAATAATTCGGATCAGTAGTCCAAATCTCTGATTTTTAGCAATTTTTAGCGAACTCTTTTCCTTGAGTGCAAATAAACTGTAGCGGCAAAAGGATGACAGGTACTTTGTCCAACCTTCTGCTGCAGTCGGTGTCTGTCCTCTTCCAGCTGCTTGAACTTCACTCTTTCTAGTTCGACCTGGTGAGCACAGTCCTCTCTGGCCCTGCGGATGGAGTCCTGAAGTTCTTGGAGGTTCCGCTCACGTTCTGACTGCAGTTCCTTCTTGTCTCTTTGAAGCTTAAAAGAAATGCATATTAATAAATTGGCCTATTACCAGCGGAATTACACTGCCCAGTTCTTTTATTATCCTTACACTTAAATGTTCAGAACAGTCACAAAATCATTTTCCGATTCCTTTTCAGTTATACTTAATGTTTAAGTACAGTGAAAATATACATATTCAACCACTATTTAATATGAATATACAAAGCATAACTACAAATCCATATAAACTCAGATGAAAAGGCTTTAACCACTTTAAATTTTGTAAGCTTATATGCCCAAATTTCTTCTTCGCTTTCAGAAACTTCTTACTCTCTACCTAAAAACACAGAAGGTAACAAGAGTTTTAGTAGTAGGACAAAATTATTTTACAAATATTTAATTTTAAACATCTAAATTTAGAAGTTGCAAAGACATGGTTAGGGTGACTTACCAAGAACATTCTAAGTACCTTTTGAATGAGGATGATGCATATAAAATTAATGTGGAAGAAATGATAATTATTTTGAAATGTGCTTTACAGAAAATTTTATAAGCGTTTAGGATAAAATTCAGTAAGATCTAATAAGAATGCTAACTAGGCATAGAAGAGATGCTAAGTTCTCACCCAACTTGGCATCTGATCACACCTGGATGAAATGGAGGAAATTCCCTTCTCCTTTAAAGCACTATAATGATTTTAAGCCACGGAGCCCATGCCACACAATGGGCAAGTTAACAAAAAATTCCTCTACTAAAAAGGAGGCCAAGCCAAATAAACACACACTTTTTCTATCTATTCTTCACATTCCAACATCAGTAAACATGCTTTGCACAGATGAAGAGCAGTTTTCTCCAAATTGTCTAAAAGACAATTTCCGTGAAATAATTTTACAGAGGTATAATGGAAAATAAATAAACAGTACGCAGTTTCAAACTGCTGGCCTTGCATTTAGCAGCCCAATGCATAACCCATTGCACTATGACGGCTGGTTTGGACTAATTAGACCCTGCAAATAAAGAGATAAATGGTATAGGAAGTACCTCTGATTCTGCACTAGCAAGTTGCTGCTCTCTCTTCTCGAGGTCAATAAGGGTTTTTTGAAGTTTTCCTTCTAAGATAGTATATTCAGCCACCTGAAATATAGTAAAAGATAAGTTAACTTATCTTTCCCCCAAAGGCAAAACAAACAAATTCAAAAATAGTGTCACTGAAACAGAGGATCTGAGGATAAGACAATCATGAATTACATCCACCTATTCAGGGCTGCCATTTTTCCGCTCTACAGTACAAGGGTGGTGAAAAAGAGGAAAATCCTCAACAAAATGGATTAACACAGTGGCTGCATCATTGAGCTTCAACATAAGAACTGGCAGGGTGGGCAGTGTTTCATTCTGTTGTACATATGGTCACTACGAATCAGCACTGACTTGACAGCACCTACCAATAACAAAATCCCACTGTGCCTCTATTTCTGGTTAAGAGTCCCCTCAGTATTAAGAGGTCTACTTGCTGCTCAGCCTAAACTAGATACAAAATTCTTTCCATTCAAACTTAACACTTTTTCTAAGACTTTCTTTTTTTTTAAAATCGTTTTATTAGGGGCTCATACAACTCTTATCACGATCCATATATACATCAATTGTGTAAAGCGCATTTGTACATTCATTGCCCTCATCATTCTCAAAACATTTGCTCTCCACCTAAGC